TGGGTTCTTTTAGGGGAGGGGAAAGGAAGGGTATACAAGGAACCTAGGGGATAAAGGGAAAGAAGGAGCTCAAGACAGGTAGAACCATAGGAGAAAGGTATTATTAAGGGAGAAAGAGGGAAAATGGGGGCGCCTTAATTGGGGAAACCATGATAGAGGGCTTACACAATGCGAGAGATAAATGGCTAGTTTTAAAAACCAGAGGGAACCATATTAGTCCAACAACCTACTGACAAATTATACATACCAGATCAAGAAATCTATGTAAGGTTTATCTGAGAACAATTGGTCTTTGCCCAAGATTTAACTACATGACACACAGTAATTAAAAGTACCAGACTGGTGGAACTAACCTTCTTGGATGTTTAACAGACATACTTTGAGACCTATAATAATTTGGTCAGAGGGACATAAAGGACAGTTTTTGCTCCTTGCCCTCCTGACTGTTCTGCCTGGCTCCCATCAGCACCATCTGATAGCTGTTTACTGCACCAGGGAACTCTCCCCATACATGGCTCTGAAGACCACTAGAGGCTGATGGAAAAAGAGTACACCATCCAAAAGAAATGGGTAAGATAGTCAACTCAGAAGAAACACTTCCTCCATGCTTCCAAGTGAAGTCAGCCATGATCGAGCAGGACCTTTGACTTATCTTCACATAGGCGGAACTGGTAAAAGAAAGGAGCCAGCGGCTCCTCCCAAGTCCATGTGACCCCTGAGCAACAGATTCTCCAATGACCTTAATAGTAAAAATAAATTGGTTTATTCGGGCCAACTATGTGGCCTTAAACACCCAAAAGGAAAGGTTAACCAAAGATTAAAGGGGCCAATATCATTTCTTAAGAGTCCATATGTATAGCTAAAGGCTACATAACAAGCAACAATGCCAGATAGGAGATACCTTCTTCTGAGTTGTTGGACAGGGTGGCCCAACAACTCCCAGAGAGTAACCCAGCACAGAACTTGGAAAATGAACAGCAGATCCCAATGTTATCTAAAGGAATATTGACAACTGATTGCTGCTAGAAGAACAGCTGACCCTCCTAAAACAAAGACCTCTAGATAGGCTGACTAGATTCACCAAAAGGGCGAGTAGTGGGGAACGGCTGGAGGTGCCGACAACACAATGGACAGTAGCAAGGATAACAGAGTATAAGGGCTCTAGAGTTGGGGGAGGGAGGCTATGGGAGGGTGCCATCTGGGAAGTGGGTGTATAGTTGAATAAGATGGTTTGGGATGTTCTGTATGATATACACACACACACAAAAAAAAATCAACAAATTTTAAAAAATATATTTGAGGAGGAAGCATAAAAATTTACGTCATGTTAATTAGTAGAGGTGATAAAACATTACACTGAAATCTACCCAATAACTTTATAGACATACACAGGTGCCAAGGATCCAAGAGCAACTGATTATGTCTAGTAATAATCAGATATATACAGATTAGAGATGCATGTTGCCAACATCTCAGTAGCAAAAACAATGAGTCTTTCTGTAAGAAACAGCGTATTTTAAAATGAAATGGAAATCTTTTTTAAAGGTTAAAAACTCATTTAATTTTATGTCTTATAGGGTTTATACTGAGTATAATATTGTATAACTGTAATAATTCAACTATAAACCTAAAAATTTACAGTCAATTTTGAAAGAGATGCATCTTAGCTCTGGAAATTGATGAGCTGAGTACTGTAATCCTGTTTTCCTCTAGGAACACACATACCTCTATGAACAAGTATACCTCTAACACTACCCCAAAAAATTTTTTAGTTATTTTTATTTTTTTTAATGTGTATTCGTGTATTGGCTGCATGTAGGTAAGTGCACCTGTGTCACAGAAGAGGCTGTCAAATCCTCTGGAACTGGAGTTACAGACAGTTGTTAGTTGCCATGTGGGTGCTGGGATTTGAACCTCAGTCTATCTGCAAGAACAGCTAGTGTTCTTAACTGCTGAGCCATCTCTCCAGCCCCAAACATCCCTTTTTAATTCCCTAAACCAGAAGTAATTCTGACCCTCTAAAGCCCATTACTTAAGTTGCAGCTGAAGCACTTACTTATTTGTTCTGTCTTTTGATTAGTAGCTGTTAAATGCCTATTTATTCCCCCAGATTATAAATAAATTCCTTAAAGTATCTGACCATTTCTAACTCCTTCCTGTTTTCCAGTTTCTATTACAGAAATGTAAGTTGATTCTTCAGTTTTTGATGGGCAAATGAATGACAGTAAATTTGGTTAGTCTCTTCAATTAAGACAAAATTAAACACAAAGGTCCTCGGCTTACCTTATTCCTCTCCTCTTGAATGATTTCTAATAGCTGGTCTATATGCCCTTCTTCTATGCATCTCTGGCCTGCTAACTGAAACAGACCAAAATCTTCTTTATTAAAATTATGTTCTTCTAGGATTTGCTGTTTAAAAAAAAAAGTACATATGCAAATATAAAGTCAGTATGATTTCCTGATTTTATATGAGAAAAAAAGTATATTTAAATTCTAGATAAAGTACACAGAAATATATGAATGAAAATTGGGACTATCCTAATACTTTAATGATTAACTTTATTATTATTATTTTTTTTTGAGACAATGTCTCATGATATATCTTAAACTAGCCTGGAATTCCAGATCCTCCTGCCCCAGCCTCTAACTACCGATTGCAAGTATGTATCACCATAGTTTAATGAATGACCTTGAGTCTACTATATCAAAGGAAACTATGAAAAGAATCAGTATTAAAATTAAGGGCTACTGGGGGCTGGAGAGATGGTTCAATGGTTAAGAACTGTGGCTGCTCTTGCAGAGGACCCAGGTGTGGTTTGCAGCACCCATGTGGTGACTAACTTCCATTCTTAACTCCACTTCCAGGGGATCTGATGCGGTCTTTTGGCCTCCACAAGCACTGTACATTTATGCACATGCAGGCAAAAGACTCATACATTTAAAACTTAAAAATAAAATAAGTTAAGAGCTATTTAGACGAGAGTTTCACCAGGAGAAATACTCCAATCTACCTTCCTGTTCTTATTTATTTAAGCGTCAAAAAAGCAGCAATTAAATAAGATAAATAATATGAGTGGTCACAAAAGTAATTAAAGCTAATTTATGACCTTCCCATATTTTGAAAGATAGTAACAGAGAATAACTTACACATCTCATTATTATGGACTGAAGTTCCTCCACAGCCATTCTTACTTACTTTTCCTAGTTTTGATGCTGAAATAAATTCAAAAGACAGTTAATCATGTGATATTATCAAAGTTGTGTTTGATAAACGGTGTCATTCTGAATAATTAGAAAACACAATAAACACAATGTAAAGTTTTAAAACAAATGTTACTGTTGAATGTTGGTATGTTAACCAAATAAAGCATTTTTAAAGCCCCCACTGTATCACTTTAAGGGCATAATTTTGAGAGAAATGAATTCAAAAGGAAATAAAAATAACATTTTAGACCGCTTCCTATAGGCTAGAAAGACTGAAGGGATTTTCTCAAAAAAATGGAAAGTATATTTTTATGAAAAAAAAATTCAAAAACATGGGCCTGAAATAAAAATTCTAACCAGGGAATTTTTAAAATTTTATGTGTATGAATGTTACCGCCTGCATGTAAGTAAGTGCACCCGTGTAGGGCAATGCCCTTTGGAACACAGAAGAGGCTGTCGGATCCCCTGGAACTGGAGTTATGGACAGTTGTTAGCTGCCATGTTGGTGCTGGGATTCGAACTCGGGTCTTCTGCAAGAACAGTGTTCTTAACCGCTGAGCCATCTCTCCAGCCCCCACTGAGGGATTTTTTTTTAAATGTCCCATTTGGAATCAAACACAACTAAGTCACCCAAAGTTGAAGGTGCTGATGCCCTCCGCCCCACTTCTCTACAGGCTCGGCCTTGCCCTCCCCAAAGGTACAGAGCCTGGCCAGTGGAATCACCGTCTCGCACGAAGACGAGGCCGTCGGTGGCCCTCAGGAGGACACCCGGCGGCTCCCGGCGACCACCGCGCATCCTCCGCCAGGCTGGTGTGGTGGGGTCGCGGCTTAGCTGGGTCCTCCTGACACTGAGAAGGCTCACTCCCTACCGCGCTAGTGGGCGGCGCCCAGAGGAAGCCATTTCTCCCCAGTCCTGCTCCGCAGAGCGGTCAGGCTCCAGCACCTCGAGGGGCCTAGCATGCTGGCCGCATCCTGCGCGCCTACGGTCGGCGAGACCAGGGCACCCCGACTGAGTACAGGCACTTACCCGCCAGACCTCAAGCCTTTCTCCACAGCCTCCACGCAGGCCGCGCTCCCGCCCCGCCCCTGGACCCGGCTCTGCCCTCTCGGCGCCCTCCCACTCTCGGATCCCGCCCCTGGCCCAGTCCCGCCCTCCCCGGCGCCCTCCCACTCCCCGTCCCCGCCCTCCTCGCAGCGCGACCTACCTTGGTCCCGCTTCCGATTCAGCCCCGCCCTCCCAAGCGCCCACCCAATCTCTGACCCCGCCCCTGGTCTAGCGCCGCCCTCCCCGGCGCGTGCCCCTAGGGGCCCTCTAGCTCCTATTCCGGCTCCGCAGTCCCTCTGGCCCCGCCCCTCCCTCAGGCCCCGCCCCTTCCTGGCCCGCCCTCTCCTCTGCTGGCTCCACCTCTGGTTCCGTCCCCAAGCCAGGCCGGAGCAGGCCTGCGCACACTCGGTTTACTCCCTCGGCCTGCCCCACACCACCTGGCCGGGGCGAAACGCAAGGAGGTGGAGCCTTGGGGGCCGCCGAGCGACTCCGACCCTCTGACGGCGCTTCCCATGGCTGACCCGGCTAGTTCCCGCTCGGTAGGCTCTAAGGCCCGGTCTGCCGGCGCCTACCGGAACGCTGCAGGTAGGAACCAGAGCCTCTTCCTAGGTAAAAAGGCCTAGTTCCGGACCGAGTGGTGCGGGAACGTGGGAAAGGCTCCCTGCGGGAGTGGCGGAGACCGAGCTTGCCGCCGCTGTGCTCGCGCCTTGGGGACAGAACCCCATACTCTGCCAGCAGTGTCGGAGGGAAGAGGAAGTGGGTGGGTGGGGACCCTTGGGAAAAGTGCCCGAGGCAGGCCGTGCTCACTAGCCTGGAACCTTGGACGTCCTTGCTGCTGCTTTGAAGCCGGGTGCTCTGCCTTGGACTCTGCCGCGAGCGAACACACTGGGGAGACCGAGAAATGTCTATCCTAAAGGTACCAGGTCAGAGGGTTTTTTAGAAGAACCTAATTAAAGCAGCTATGGTACATGAGAAAAAAAGATCAATCCTCAAAGAGACAGCTTTTAAGTAGGAAAAAGTAGGACGTGATTAATGTGCAAAAACAAGTTGGATTTCCTTCTTATTTGCTTTCATTTATACAGTAGAGTTGGGAATGAATTGGGGAAGATGTGTACGTATGTTATATTGGGCAGGACTCCACTGCACCAATATGCGTGTGTGGACTTAACTGTTATTACTTCATTTGTAGGTACTAAACAGTCAAAAGCCTTGAAACAAGAAGATACTTCCAGAAGGTATAGCTACGTGGACAACCGCGTTTCACTTTCCTCTTATCTCATATTAATTGAATCAGTTTTTTTTTTTTATTGTTTGTCAGTGTTGGGCATTGAACTAAGGGTTCCACACATAGTAGACGAGCACTCTACCGCTGCGCTATATTCTCAGTCCAAACCAGTTTTAAAAACCATAGTGCCTACCTTTTTTGGATAAAATACTTAGAAAATACATATAAGGAATGGAAAGCTCAGACTGTTATGTCCCTCCACCTTAAAAAACCTAACTATAGAGACTCTTGGGCTGTCGTTAAGTATTATGAATACCTGTACAAAAGTGTGTGTGGGAGCATTCCTGAATTAGCCAGGTCCCCCTTTCCCATCGCTCCAGGTACGGTATTGCTGTATATGCCGGACTCACTGGAACAAGTTTTTTTTCTTCAGCACTCCAAGAAACCTTTTGTCTTCTTTGTAACATTAATTATACATTGTCATCAAAAAAGCTGTTCTACACAGTCTTTGGGCTTCTGAAAAGTCAGGATGGCAAAAAGATTTCTAGAACAGAAGTAATCTATGAAGGAGATCAAAAGTATATCTGTGATTCATCACTTGAAGATTCACTAATCTTGTATTTTCGATGCTCTTATTCTTTCAAAATAAATCCTAAACACAAGATAGTGTGGTATTGAACAAAATGATTTTTACTTACTGGAACTGAGAAATGATGATTCAACTAACAGAAATGAATATATAATTACAAATTGTGGTGAGTTCTATAAAAAAAAAAAAGACTGATGTTATGCGGGGGAACATACAACACAAGTCCAGTTTAGATAGGAGTTGGCAGGGAGGTTACCATGGGTCTGTAAGGAAAGACTTCTGAAGGAAGTAATTAAACTAGACCTGAAGACTGAATAGGTAATAACCAGACAGAGTAGTGCTGAAAGAATTCCAGCTAGAGGTGGCAGTAGGTGTGGAGACCCTGAGATATGAAAAGTGCCAAGGAAGTGACATTTCAGGCAAGGGAAGGAAGGAACGTGAGAAAAGGATAAGGAGGCAGAATTTTGTTCACATCGTACGTAGTAGGCTATAGTGAGAAACTCAGATTGTCTAAGTGCAGAACAGAAAACTTTGTAAAAAGTGATTGGATTTAGGTTTTTAAAGTTTTAAGATTGCCAGGCACTGAGGAGGTAGAGGCAGGCAGATCTCTGTGAGTTCAAGGCCAACCTGGTCTACATAGCAAGTTCCAGGCAACTGGGGCTACATAGTGATACCCTGCTTCAAAAATAAATAATAATAATAAAAAAATTAAGCCAGGTGTGGTGGTGCATGCCTTTAATTGCAGCACTTGGGAGGCAGAGGCAGGCAGATCTCTGTGAGTTCAAGGCCAGCCTGGTCTGCATAGTTCCAGGACAGCTGGGGCTACAGGGAGACCCTGCCTCAAAAAAAAATTAAAAGGTTAAAGTTTCAAGATATTTAGGGTTTGATGGAAAAATGGAGAAACTGGATGTGTTTGACATTTATTTTGGAAAATATTTCCCTGTGGAGGAGCATAATACTGACTTGGTTTTAGAACTATTGCAAGAATAAATTTTAATTTGATTATGATGGTGATTTGCACCTCTTCTAAACATTCACTGATGTAAGCTGGGTATGGTAGTGCATGACTATAACCCTTGTACTTGACGAGCAGAAGCTGAAGAATCCAGAGTTCAAGGCCAGCTTGAGCCACATACCAACACTCAATCTCAAATACTCCTCCCCCCGCCCCCCCCAAAATAGCATATGCTCATGCATGTACACACACACACAAACACTAAACTGGTTGTAGACCCATGGATTACATTTCTTAAGGAACATAAAAAAGTGAAATTATTTTTGTTTTGGGGAGTTTGGTGTTGGGGAGCAAACTTGGGGCCTTTGCATGCTAGGTAAGTAAATACCACTGAGCTGTACTCCCTGCTCCAGCTAAAATACATTTTGAGCAGATGTCTAGGATGGTGAAACAACCAAATAGTTGAGAGAAAGTGTCCTCTTCAAAAAAAAAATTTATCTATTTTTATGTGTATCAGTGTTTTGCCTGCATGTATGTAAGTGTACCACATGTGTACAATGTCTATGGAGACCAGAAGTAGGTGTTGGATTTCGTAGAACTGGAGTTACCTAGAATTGTTAACCACCATGTGGGTAATGGGAACTGAATCAGTGGTCTACAAAAGCAGTCAGTGCTCTTTTAACTACGGAGCCAACTCTCCAATCCTGACAAATGACCATCTTAATTTATTTGAACTAAAAATAGTTTTACATTCATTCTAACCAAATGCAATTAAGACAGGCATTTAAGTTATTTGGAAAAACACAAAATAGTTCACTGATTTCACAGAGGTTTTCATTTAAAAAAGCTAATGTAGCTGGGTATGGTGGCGCACTTTTTTAATCCCAGCACTTAAAAGGCAGAGGCTGGCAGATCTCTGTGAGTTCAAAGCCAGCCTGGTCTGCATAGTGAGTTCCAGGACAGCTGGGGCTACAGGGAGACCCTGTCTCAAAAAAACCAAAAAAAAGCTAACATGTAATAACTTATTATCAAGTGAAATATTTTAAATTCTGTTTTATTCTAATGTAAATAGTGACAAGTATAATCCATATTAGCAGAAGCTCTAATTTTAAGGCTATGAAGGCATCTGAGACCAGTGTGTTTGAGAACTGCTCCATGCATCCCATTGACTATCATCATTTGTGACAGTAAGACGGAGCTAGCTATCCGTGAGATATCTGCATATATCTCTCAGTTAAGAAGAGTGTGGCTCAGATGCCAGTGATTAATGACGTGAGTCAGCAAGCTGTATAGTACATGACATGGCTTTTATTGGTAGGCAGCAAAGTAATAAAAATAAGTGGTTAAGAATACTGGTAGATCTTGCAGAAGACCCCACTTCGAATCCCAGCACCCATATGGCAGCTAACAACTGTCCGTAACTCCAGTTCCAGGGGATCTGACAGCCTCTTCTGTCCTCCGCAGCCACATGCAGGCAATACACGCATACACATTAAATAAAAATCATAAATAAAATGTTTTTTAAAAAATAAAATCTTTCATGAAGCTGTACATTCAGTATAAAGAACTGTCATTTACTCTGTGTGGATATCTTTCCTGTTTCTGTGCTTCAGAAGTGGTTATTATGGAGCTAATGATTATAGTTCAATGGTAGAACACTTGTTTAGCATGTGCAAGGCCCCGAGTGCCATCCCCAGCACCAGAAAACAATAATAAAATGGTTTAATTTCATTAAATGGTGGGAAAATAAGTGTTAGCTCAAAGATTCTCATTTTAATGTTAGTATTTGGCAAAATCAATTGCTCACAAAACTGATTCAGATCTCCAGATTGCTTTATGGGACACATACTGCCCAAGGAAAGAACTGGAGTCTCGAAAGCCTTAAACATTAGTGAAAGTAGGAAGAAAATGTGAGGATGTTTCTAGGTCCAGATGTGAGAGGCAAGTCTTAAGGCTTGCCTTCAGTCTGTTTTAACTTCTTACTCCTTATCAGAGAAAATGCCTCTCTTTTTAGGTACATATGGCAAAAGTATAAAAGGGGGGAAGCATGCACTTTTTTTAAAAAATGATTCTTACTCTGTATTCTGCACTGGCCTTGAACTCTGGGTCTTCCCACCTCCTTCTCCTTTGTGCTGAGCACAGCATGTACTTCCATGCCACCCTGGCCCTGCCCTCCTTTTCTATAGGAGTGAGACTAAGTACTTCCTTGAGCTCTACCCTGGAAGAAGTCCTCATGGTCAGCTTCTTTGTGTGCACTGCAACAAAGAGCTTCTTTCCTTTTTGGAAAGTATTAGATCAGCAGTAGCAGAGTTAGACTATAAACTTTGCTGGCAAAAGAATGAGTTAAGTTAGTGATGGATTTTAATACACGAACTGTTGGAGCCAGGATAAATCTTATATATTAATTAACTTTCTCCTTAAAATTGTAGGAGAGCAGAATTAGAAGCAGCTGCAAAAAAGAAGATTGAGTTTGAAAGGAAAGCATTACGTATTGTTGAACAGCTTTTAGAAGAGAACGTTACAGAAGAATTCCTAAAAGAGTGTGTATGTATTGCATTGACAAATTACCACTTTTTTGTTTTTTTGTTTTTGTCTTTTTGAGGCAGGGTCTCTCTGTAGCCCTAGCTAGCCTGGAACTCACTATGTAGACCAGGCTGGCCTTGAACTCACAGAGATCCCTCTGCCTCTGCTTCCCAGATGGTAGGATTAAAGGCGTGCATCACCGAGCTAAATTACCAATTTTTAAATATAACTTCTGTAACCTGTACAAAATGAAATGTCTTTGCATTGTTGCGATCTTTAAACTTGTTCTCAGTCTTTAGATAACAGGCTATATAATTTTTATATTTTAAAATAATCAACTATTATAATTCTTATCCTGTAATTGCTTTAAATGAATTAATAAAAGTGCATACAAGATGGCTATAGTTACATATAATCTATATTTGCAGTTTTTTATTTTATTATTGTGTGTGTGCACGCACATGTTCATGGTGCACATGTGGAGGTCAGCAGACAACTTTGTGAAATCGGTTCTCTCCTATCTTGTGGGTACCAGGGAAAGAACTCAGTTTGCCAAGCTTGGTGGTAGGCACCTTTACCTGGAGTGCTTACTATATGTCAAACATTTCTGTGTTAATTCCTTTATTTTCTCCTCTAATTCTAACTCCAGATTTATAAGGCAGATACTTTTGTTGGTGGTGTATTGTCAGATGAGATTTATGAGTGTTAGTCTGTGTCTTTTCCCCATGAATCTGTTAGGAAATGTCACTTTCATTTCATTATAGGGGAAATTCATCACACCCGCTCACTATAGCGATGTTGTGGATGAGCGTTCTATCATCAAACTCTGTGGTTATCCTTTATGTCAGAAGAAATTGGGAACTGTAAGTACTTTTTTTTTTTTTTTTTTGGTCTTTTTGAGACAGGGTCTCCCTGTAGCCCCAGCTGTCCTGGAACTCACTGTGTAGACCAGGCTTGCCTTGAACTCACAGAGGTCTGCCTGCCTCTGCCTCCCAAGTGCTGGTATTAAAGGTGTGCAGTGCTGTTTATTTTTTTTTAAGACTTTATTACTTTATTCACACATTTCCATTCACTCATTATTTTATTTCACATTTCTGTCTAACCTATACATACGAATTTTTTATAAGCTTATTTTTTTTATGTGTAATCATGTATTGCCTGCATGTATCTAAGTACACCTGTATCATGCAGTGCCCATGGAGGACAGAAGAGGCTGGGACTAGAGTTGTGGACAGTTTTTAGCTGCCATGTGGGTACTGAAATTCGAACCCAGGTCTTCTGCAAGAACAGCCAGTGTTCTTAACCACTGAGCCATCTCTCTAGCTCCTGTTTACTTATTTTTACAAAATATGTTGTAGAAAGAATGGAAAATGAACCCTGGGGTCATGAACTAATAGCATGGATTGTCAAAAAAACATGAACTGTTGATGAGTTAATTTTGTATAACATAAATCTTGTGTGTATGACTTAGATTCTCATGTAAATTACGCTTTCTTTTTTTTTTTAAGATACCAAAACAGAAATACAAAATTTCTACCAAAACCAATAAAGTCTATGATATTACTGAAAGAAAGGTAAGCTCAAAAGCTATGTTTAGTGAGGCAGATAATTTTTAAATGATATTAAGTGGAACTTTAAAAATTATTTTAAAATTTGCCTGTTAGAAAATAACTATATCAAAAGTTTGTTTCTATTTGAAACTGAGGTACTAAGAAAACTCCTTGCTAAAGCTATAGTTAAGACTTAAAGCCAGGCATAGTGGGATGGGATTCAACGTTATCCTTGGCTACATTGCAAGTTTGAAGCTTGCCTGAACAACATGAGACCTGACAGAGAGAGAGAGAGAGAGAGAGAGAGAGAGAGAGAGAGAGAGAACCATTTAAAGTGCATGTTGGTCTAAATCTAGGCAAACAAACCATGGATAAGAAGAATGAGCCAGGAGCAGATTCATCCCTGATACATGGCAGTGGGGATGCTATAGGTCAGTGGAGAAAGGACAGGTTTTTCAGTAAATAGAGGTGGCACAATTAGTTCTCCAGATGGAAGAAGAAAATTGAGCCCTATATCAGTCAGTATACCAAGCAGATTGGCCTTAAGACCTAAGTATAGAAAGTAGACCTTTTTGAAGAGAGTGTGAGAAACTAAAATCTAGGGGTAGAATATTTTTTTTTAATAAGAGTGAAAATTTTAGACCATATATGAAAAGCTGATAAACTTTTCTACATTAAAACTTAGAACTTTTGTTCATTAGAAATGAGAAAACAAGTTAAAAATATGAAGTTATATTTCACACATAAGTGACTACAAGTTCATAGCCAGAACATACAGTCTGTAAGAAAAAGATAAGCCATCTAAATGGGAACTTTCACACTGAATTTATGTGGTTAGTAAACATAGGAAATCATGCTCAGTCTCTGTAATAATCAGAGAAATAGCTAGTCTGAACACATTGAGTTGTTTCCAACCCCTAACGTTCCTGGTGGGAATAAAAATTGTTACAGCATTTTTAAAAATATTTTATTGGCCGGGCGTGGTGGCGCAAGCCTTTAATCCCAGCACTTGAGGGGGCAGAGGCAGGCGGATCTTTGTGAGTTCAAGGCCAGCCTGGTCTACATAGTTCCAGGACAGCTGGAGCTACAAGGAGGCCCTGTTTCAAAAAGACAAATTATTGATTATTTTTATATGTATGCGTGTCTTGCCTGCATGTAGGCAAGTGCACCCATGTCATGCAATGCCTGCAGAGGACAAAAGAGGTTGTCGGATCCCCTGGAACTGGAGTTACGTACAGTTGTTAGCTACCATATGGGCGTTGGGATTCAAACCCGGGTCTTCTGCAAGAACAGTCAGTGTTCTTAACTACTGAGCCATTGCTCCAGCCCTGTTAAACCATTTTTATGGCTGTTTGGGATTTATCTAAGTCAACCTTCCACTATGGAGTCACGAAGGCTGAGGATCTGACCCAAAGCTGCTTACATACTAGCCAGGTGCTATAACACTAAGCTGCACCCCAGCAACTTGACACATTCTTTATGACTAAGCTGTTTTACTCTTTGGTATAAAAAAAAATGTAAAAGGTGTAAAGAAATTCCTGGCCCATGTGTGCACCAGTATATATGTAAAAAGTATTCATAGCTATATAAACAAAATGTGGTATATGCGTATAGTGGGATAATAATCTGTCTTTAAACAGAAGAAAAATCTCACGTAGGAACCTTAAAGGCATACTAAATGAAATAAGCCAGCACAAAAGGACAAATATTACATAATTCTACTTACACAAGGTACCTAAAGTAATTAAATTTATAGCAAAATGGTTCTTGTCAAAGAAGATGGAAATAAGAGTTATTGTTTAATGAGTATAGTTTCAAATGTATAAGCTGAAAATTTTAAAGATACTGATGAGGGTTGTGTAGCAATATGAACTTAATGTCACTAACCTATACACTGAGGAGGATCAGAGTATGGTGGCATTACCTGCAGTCCTAGCACTCAGGAGGTTGAAGCCAAAGATGAGATGGCTCAGTAGTTAAGTGTGCAGTAAGTGTGTGCTGTGCAAACATGAAGATCCTAGCACCTATGTAAAAAGGTAGACATAACAGTCTGCATCCATAACCCCAGCCCTGGGGGTAGAGACAGGCAGATCCTAGTAGCTCACTGGCCAGCCAATCTATCAAAATGGTGAGCTCAAGATTCAGCAAATCTGTCTCAAAAACTAAGGTGGAAAGCTTTTGAGGAAGACACCTACTGCCAACCTCTGTCATGCAGGGGTTAGTGCATCCATACTCCCACACACGTGCATATTAACACACACATAGAAATTATTGAGCCAGGTATAGTGGCTTATGCCTTAATTCCAACACTCAAAAGGCTGAGGTAGGAGGGTCAGAAGTCCAATCAACTATATGGCAAATTCAAGGTTAGCCTGGGGCTAAACCCTATCTCAAACAAATGACCAGTGAGATGGCTCAGTGAGGAAGGGCGCTTGCTACCAATTCTGACGACCTGAGTTTGATCTGCAGAACCCACATGGCAGGAGAGAACCAACTCCTTTACGTTGTCTTCTGACCTCCACGTGCATGCTGTGGAACATGTGTGCCAACACACACATAAAATAAATTAATGAAACATTAAGAATTTAAAATATATTCTTCATTTTATTTTTTTGAGAGGGTCTCCTTGTAGCCCCAGCTGGTTGGAACTCCCTACATAGACCAAGCTGGTCTCAATCTCACAGAGATCCTCCTGCCTCTGCTTCTGCCTCCTGAAGTGCTAGATTTAAAGGCATGTGCCACCTCACCGTTAAAGGTATAGCATAGGCTGGCCTTGAACTCGTGATCTTCCTGCCTCTGCTGCTTCAGTATATCCTAATCCTACCACTGTGCGCCACCACAACCAGCTAAATATATTCTTTAAAAAAGAATTTTTTTATTGTTTGTCATGGTGTCTCACTCTAAAATCTCAGCACTTGGAGGCTGAAGCATTAGCACCAAAACAAGCCTGAGCTACATTGCTAGCTCCAGCCCAGTTTGGGATGCAAAGTAAGTCCCCCATCTCAAAAAACCAAAGCAATTGTCATCAAAGAAAATATAACATTGAAATGATAGCAAAAATTAGAAACAATTCAGCTGTGCATAAGCAATAAGGTATAATATACTAACAACATTTTTTTCTTATTGCACTGAGGATTGAATCTAGAGTTTTGCACATGCTGGGCAAGTGTTCTGCCATTGCCACATCCCAGCCCCACAGTGTAATAGTACATACAGTGAAAAGGTAAAAATACCCAGCTCTACAAATGAATCTTAAAAACATGATTTTGAACCAAAAAATAAGACAAAAATATATAACAACATCCCATTTAGATGAAATTTAAAATATTTATTATTTTTATTTTATGTGTATATGTGTATTGCCTTGCATGTAAGTGCACCTGTGTCATGCAGTGCCCACAGAGGACAAAAGAGGCTGTTGGATCCCCTGGAACTGGAGTTACTGACAGTTGTTAGCTGCAATGTGGGTGCTGGGATTCGAATCCAGGTCTTCTGCAAGAACAGTCAGATTTCTTAATTGCTGAGCTATCTCTCCAGCCCCTAGATGAAATTTAAAATTGGGAAAACTAGGGGGTTGGAGGGAAAGCTCATCATTTGGGAGTACTGCTGACTACTCTTGCAGAGGGCTCGGGTTTGGTTCCCAGCACCCACATGGCAGCTAACAACTGCTTATGACTCCATTTCCAGGGGTCTGACACCCTTTTCTGGTTTCCACAGTCATTCATGCACATGATACACTTACATTCGATCAGGCAAAACATTCTTACGTGTAAAATAAAAATAAATAAAATTTTAAAATAGGAAAACTGAACATTGTGTTCTATAGAAGTATATAGGTGACAAGACTGAAAAGCAAAGGAACGATAAGCACCAAATTTATGATAGTGCTTCCCCTGGGATGCAGAGGGTGCTGCAGGTGGGACGGGGCAGGAGGGGACCTTAGCCATGCTGTCCTTTCACTCTCCACCTTGGGAAGTAGGAGATTTGGGGGTTTTGTTTTATTCTTTCACCTGCATGTTTATGTTTTTTGTGTGTAGGTTGTGTTTTATAATAGGAGAAAAAAAACTAGTTTAAATTTTTCCTTTTCAGTCTTTTTGCAGCAATTTTTGTTACAGAGCATCTAAGTTTTTTGAAACACAAATTCCCAAAACTCCAGTGTGGGTTCGTGAAGAAGAGAGGTAATTTAAATCTTCATATCTACTTACTTATTTATGGTCGAGTTTTAACTTCTTTTTTTAAAATTTTATTTATTCTTTTTATTTTATGTGTATGCGTATTGCCTGCATGTAGGTAAGTGCACCTGTGTCGTGCATTGCCCACAGAGGACAGAAGAGGGTGTCGGATCCCCTGGAACTGGAGTTATGGACAGTTGTTAGCTGCCATGTGGGTACTGGGATTCGAACCCGGGTCTTCTGCAAGAGCAGCTAGTATTCTTAACTGCTGAGCCATCTCTCCAGCCCCTTAACTTCTTTTTTTGTTTGTTTTGGTTTTGGTTTTTTGAGACAGGGTCTCACTATGTAGCCCTGACTGGTGTGGAACTTTCTATGTTGACCAGGCTGGTCTTGAATTCACAGAGATCACCTGCCTGTGCCTCCCGAATACTGGGATTAAAGGCATGCACTGCCACTGCTGGCTTCTATCTAGTAACTTCTTTCTGTCCTCTGATAAAGACTGAGATAAGTTTGGTTTTCTATAGTGTCACCATTTTCAGTTGTGGGGAAATGGTTATATTTTAAGCATAGTTATTAAGGATTTTAAAGTTAAAATCAGAAAAATCATACATGCAAACATTTTTTTTCTCTGCTATTTTAACCTTAATCACAAAACTGAAAGAAACTTTAGTTCTAGCTTCTTGCTTTGTTTCGAATGTCTCTGAATCTTGTTAATATAATAATCCTGAATGAAAATCTTAAATTTTTTCAGAGGATACTAACTCTTGGGAGCTAGCTAAACTCATTTTGTTACTGGGAAATTATGTGCTAATTGAAGAGTTTTACTAATTCATTTCATCTTTATTAAAATATCTGCAGTGTTTTATTAGTTTAAAGAAAGCCAATTAAAAAGTATCTTTTTTGCTAAAAAGTTTATGATCGTTTTAGGACTTCTGCCTCTTGAGAAGTAATTAAACATTTGCAATATTTTACTAATGCTGAATTTGGGGAATTAATATTATTGAGTGAGTGTGCGAGTACAGCAAAGACAGCTGAAATTATTCTTATCATAATTAAACTATGCCGTGTAAAAATTGTAAACAGAGGCTTAATGAGATTATCATTATCCCACATGATCCATGTTTGAAAGAGATAACACAAAACCCAGTTATTTTTGGTAACATAGTAAAGATCGGTAGTAAATAAAATATCGTGACTTAAGTGTAATAAGATGTAAGGAACTAAAGAGCTTTACCTCAAAACAAACAAACAAAAACATAAGCCTTTATCTGATGAAGAAGGTCAAATGCCACCTCTCTGAATTCTACCAGCATCATTTGTAGTGGTGAACAACACCTTGGATGTTGGATGCTATCTCCTGACAGTTCGGTCCTATGCAAAACCTACCACTATATGGCCATAATTGAATTGAATGCAATAAAGACTAAACTGGTTGTTTTACCCTAGCTGTCAGCCTTTTGTTTAGAGGATAAAAAACAGCCTTGTCCAAGGGCAATGGGAACTCAGTACTTCTTTCTTGTCACTCTTTCATGTTTTGATATGTCTGTCATCAGAGCTGCCCATTGCCACCTCAGGCCTACCACAGCAGCACATTCCATTCCCCACTAACACCAATTTGCCCGAGTTGTCCTTATCTTTTATTTCCAAAGACAACGTCTCTACTTACTAAATTGGATCCTCTATACTATTTTTTTTATCTTCTCCAAATCTATTTACCAAACCAGGCATGTTTGTACATACCTCTAATACCCAAACTGATGGTGGAGGCAGGAGGATCAGGAATTCAGGGCTGTCCTCATCTGCAAAGTAAATTCACAGCCAGCCTGGACTACGTGGGACCCTGTCTGAAAGAAAAGAGAAAGGAAGAGGGTAGGGTGAGTGGGGATAAACAATTTACCTTCCTCCCACCTCTCTTCTCTTCAGGTGTAGTCATTGGCACTTCCTGTAGCTAAAAGAAAATAGTTCTCTCCAGTTTTTTCTTAGAATCTTACCATCCAGGGTTCAGAATGCCTACTTTTCCTTAAAACTTGAAGCCTTGGGCCCTGTCATTTGATATGTGTGGTTCTTGAGATTTCATCTTATTTCTATGCCTATACCTTTCCTTACATCACTTTAAAAAAAAAAAAAAAAGATAAAAATAGTCTTTTTTAAATCTCCCTGATCTAGACTAATGCACTTAGTGTACAGTAGCATGCACTGTGTACTTAGTACCTAGCAGGACACACAGACATGCGTATGTGTATTTGTGTGTACCATAAGTTTCAACATGTGAGTTTAACAGTAATTGAGGTGGCAGAATAAATAAGTGAAACAATGTGTAGTAACTTTAATGAGTATATGTAATATAAATTAACAAGGTTATTACAGTACTTAATGAAAAACTGTAAACAAAAGAGAAAAACGGGAATATGTTGGGTATTGAACCCTGGCTCACTACAGTTTCACTTTCCATTTTTTTAATTACCCACATTAACTATATAGTCTGAAAATATAAGATGGAAGATTCCAGAAATAATTCATAAATTTTACATTATAAACCATTCTGAATAGCACAATAAAAATCTCACACCATGTTACCCCCTCTTGCTTAGGACCTGAATTATCCTTTTGTCCAGTATAATCACACTATATATGTTGTTCACCTGTTAGCTACATAGGAAAAGACATAGTCTATGAAGAGTTTGGTACTATTCATGATTTTAGGCATCTAGTTGGTAGTCTTGCAATGTATGCCTCATAGATTAGTGAGTACTGCTGTACATAATGGAAGATTCTAATAGGTAAGTAAGAATAAACCAGACTGAGCTTGGCATATCTCCAAGTATTGAGGAGCTATCAAATAGGGCTGTGTGTGTGTGTGTGTGTGTGTGTGTGTGTGTGTTTTACAGGGCTAGGGTTAAATCTTTTACATGCTAAACAAGTTTTCAACCACTGAGCTATATCCCCAGCACAATTTTTTTTTAGTAGAACTTAATCTGGTATTGGTGTACAAAAGGAATTAAAGAAAAAAGAATCATAAAGAGCTTAGAGGAGCTTTAGATTCATTCCAGCCCCTTCGTCTAACAAACTTTAAAAAATGAAGTGTGTTTCTTATGCTAGTCACAGATTCTGAATAAGAGTAGTACTCTATTTTTTCATATTCATCATGCTGGGTTAGTAGAAGTTAGTGAGTGGACTTCAAATATGAATTTTTTCCACTGCATGCAGTATAATGATAGCCCTTAATTGTGTATAACACTTGTTGGTTTGACAACTAGACTAGTATCTTCTCTATCTGGGTGGTAGCAATATTAATTTGTAACTTCTTATGGCGTTATGTTGTTATTATTGAATGAATCCACTAGAGGTCACTCTTCACAGAGACTTATTTTTTTTGGATGCATGCTATGAGTCATAAATTTATCAGTTAATACATACATTATATTCTAATACATATAACTTAAAAAACATGTATCAAATGCCTGGTTATTTTCTTTCTCTTTTATGAAATACTGATAGTGACTCACTAATTGTTCTGACCTGCAGTTTGAAGAGCACTGTTTTGTTCAATTCAGCTCAGGTTTTTAGTTGTTTCACTATTAATTATTATCAATACTATACTTCAGTTTCCTAATTTATAAAAATAAAAGGTTGCATTAATAGTAGTTCCCTTTCGTTCTGGTGTTTTACAGTCCCGAGTTAATTGTGTCTTTAATCATTGCCTGTTACAGTACAGGTTTTTCCCCTAAGAAAATGTTGTATTTCTAAAAAGAAAGAAAACTTAAATTATCAGCATAAGACTAGAGAAACTTAAGCTGCCTTGTAACAAAGTCTGCCTGGTATAAAAATTTAGACTGACTTGAATTCTTTTGTTTGTAAAGATAAAGGTTGATAAAGGATTAGATCAGAGTTTTTAAATTAGAAAAAAAGTCAGAGATTTTTTAAAAAATATTTTTTATGTGTTTGAATGTATTGCCTGCATGTGTGTAAGTGCACCCATGTTGTGCAGTGCCCTCAGAATTCAGAAGTAGGCATTAGATCCCCTGGAATTGGAGTTATGGACAGTTGTTAGCCACCATGTGGGTGCTGGGAATTGAACCCAGGTCTTCTGCAAGAACTGTCAGTGCTCTTAAGGGCTGATCCATCTTTCCAGCCCCAAGTCAGATATTTTATAGCGTGTCCTGAACTTTGGGCACATCATGATCTTATATGAGAAACAGAATATTGAATTTGACCTGATTTGATCTTTCATACATTACTGTGAACACTACAATAAATTTATTTATCAGATACAAAAATGTCAAAACCTAGTAGTAGTGTCAAATTTATATTGTTACTTTTTGCCACATTAGGTTCACTACTTCATTGATAGATGTATTAACCTATGAATAATTTAGACAGATTCATTAGTTCTAGCTCCATACTTTTACCAAGGCTTTTGAGTCAGGAAGAGTCACCATTTTAGTTAAAAGCTATCTAGAATAGATCTTTTAAATCCCAAAGAACAACAGTGCTTCTCACAGAATGTCTCTTGATAATCCATTAAAGACAAAACACTGACCTAGAATGGTTTGGTTCATAATTATGTAATGTAATGCTTCTCATCTTGTGAGTTAGAAATTATTCACCAAGCTGGTGGCCAGAAAAAGACCACATACAGTTTTGATGCTCAAAACACTATGCTCAGTTAGATAGTATATGCTTACATTCATAAAGCCCTGACAAATCTTTGAAGAAGAAAGTTTCTAGAATTATGAGCTAAAATCTAAGAAGGAAGAGCAAATTTTGAAAAGCAGATTTTGTTTCTAAATACCAAGCTACGGTGAATGGTGAATGCTGACAGAGCTAAAAGCGCCATCATGTGGCCTAGAGTTGTGGGTTTTTACATGTTAGTTCTCAGCAGTAAACATAGCATAATCTCAGAGGGGCGGAAACCAAAAACCTCTGCAGAACAGCCTTTATAACCTCTTCTTGAACAGCCACCTCTGTTGCTCAGTAAGCAGAATAAAAGCTTTCTGAAAAAGATT